TTATTACGTAAGCACAACAATCCCGAATTAAAACTCAGTTAGCCAACCACGACTCGTAAATCATGATCATAATTGCATGACCAATATCTTAGACTACATATAAGCTATATACATGGGTATAACAATATAAAGTCTAATTAAAGTATGCTTTACAACTATAAACTTCGCATAGACTATTATAAGGTTACACGAATAAAAAGTTTAATTGTAGCTTTGTTACGTCTTTTTGCGTAACAACATATAAATAAGAACCGGCATGTTGGTTTAAAATGCTCCGAATCAAATTTATCTGACCTAATTAGCAACTCAGCTAGAATCTCTAGACTAAATTTAACTTGAAGTCAATTCGTTATAATAGATTACTACATTAAAAATAGGTTGTTCATTTTATACGTTCGTTTCATTTGCCCTCTCCCTCCCCCTTTCGAGAGCCCTGGAAAGTGATGTTAACCGAAAAATTAACTTCCAACGGCTTTCTTAATATTTGATGTTTCCTTTTAAGTAATTTAAGTCATTCATTATTTGTTTTGTCATGTTTAGGGATGAGAAAATCGAATTTACTGCGCAGCTTCACAACACGCATTATGATAGTTTTCTGCTAATGCGGGCCATAATTGTTAAATTCCGAAATATTCCGTCTGCGCAGCGGTCCATCCCTAGTCTTGTTTAAACCATGTACTAGTTAGTAAGATATTTGATTAATAAAGATTATTCTTTTTATACATATTAAGAGATTGTTAAGCTTAAAGATAATACTTTTTTTATTAAATTTAACCAGATACGCATTTGACAATGGCTGTCAGGATCAATTTATTATTATAAATTTAAATTTATAGTTTAAAAATGTCTTTTTTAATAACTTATACATAACTTTTTTTTTTTTTTACTTCGAACTCGTGCCAATCAGATTTTGTAAAGTCAGAATGAAAGCCCGCTATGTTGACGAGGTAATGGTTAATGAGACTATGAATGTTAATAATTAATGGGACTATACTGGTAGCAATTCCGATCAATTTACCGGTGTTACATGGGATTTTGTCACTTGACCGTATAGTCATCCCTAGTTGTAGATCACCTGATGTTGACCCGAATGTGAAGATATTCAAGGATCGAACGTCAATCTTTCGGATCCCACATGGGTAATCTTATGATATGTCGTGCTTGTTACTTGACCTTATGTCTCCATATTCTTTCACGTTGCGTTCATTAGGGAATAGGATTAGTATTGATTGTAAATGTATATAGAAGTGTAGGTCTTGTTCTTGAAAACATGTATAAAATAACCCCAACACCCTTCCAGTATTCACAGTTCTCTCGAGCACATGAATTAATAAAGAGATAACTCATCTTATGCACCTATTGTATCTTCATATACATTAGTCGTTTTGCCTCTTTCGATAAAGTCCTAATAAAACCTCTTTGTTAAGTCATATATATCGACGCTATTATTCTCTGCCAAGTCATAAGGCTATAACCTGCACGTTCCTTGAACTACTATTAAGAGGTGTAGTTCGGGTGTGACAATTTGGTGGTGACTGTGAGATTAGAAACTTAATTCATGAGAATTGAAATCGGATTATCTTAGTGAACCCCAATTGTAAGATTGTATAGTCCGATCGATCCTAGTTAAGGAATTAATCTAACGCGAGATGACCTTTTAATTAAAAGCACTGAGTAGTATTATAAAAGCTGACTAGAGATATCTCACAAAATGGATTTTTACTATAGCCAACAGAATCAGATATCTATCACGAATCAACCTAGGCCATGCCAACGTTTGAAGAAAAATGCGCAGTATCGGACAAAGAAGGCCCAATCGCAGCAAATATCATGAAACAACAATCTGTCCCATGAAATCTTTCACAGAAAATCCAGATGCACTTATTGTAACATAACAAAACACACAAATAATAAATGTCCAAAAGTAAAGGTGTTAGAAAGAAAATGCATTGCCATATTTGAGACCCTTACTGATAAGCAAACTATTAAAGTTCAAAAACTCATAAATAAAGCCGTCGAAAATGAATATATCGATGATACACGGCTTCCGCAGACTCTAGAACTAACATTAGAAATCTTAGAAGACTTCACAAATTACAAAAAAGTAGCTAAAGTACCACCGATAATTCACTTACCTCCATATATCAAGCTAATGCCAATGCCTAAGTCTGTCAGGTTAGAGCCGCATCATATCAGCACTAACGGAATATATGTTGGGCGATGTTATGGAAATAAAAATGGAATTGAGATTGAAAAGAATAAACACAATGTATTCAAATATCCTCAAGAACCAGTAAAAGCAAAGAGACTTTCCGAGAATTATGGTATTAAAAAGCACTATCAGAATTGAATTGGGATTGAAACAAATAAGCATAAAAAGTATGTTCAGCATCAAAGGTCTACCAAGAATAGGCGGAAAGTCTTTGAAAAGTATATGAAGTTGGTTGAAATCGGTGATACTAAAGGAATGAATGATGCTGCTGAAAGGAGAAAACATAAGGCACTCATTCATTATCAACAATCTGCTAAGCTTGAAAATTCTAATGGAACATTTAAAGTCGGGCATTGTTATAAAAATGAGATAGGTCCTGAAGTAAATGAACATTATCCAAATAAAAATAAGTCTGAAGCCACAAATGATAATAAGGATCATGATAATGATAAAACGGCTGAGATAAGAAAAAGTACCATACTATAGAGGAAGCGAAAAGGTTTGTTAGTAAAGTAAGGAGTATGCTAAAGGAAAGACAAGTTAAAGTACGAATACATATCGATCCCAAAGAATCTCTGGATGCCATGTATAATTCTTGAAAAAAGAAACTCAAAAAGTTTAAAGATAAAAATCGAAGCAAGTAAAAGAAGTAAACATGAAAAGTTAGAATGGCACCAGAATTCCTCTGAAGATAGTAATCCAAACGGACAAAATAATTGTGGATAGTACGTATTATCAAAATGGCATAAGCAGCACTAAAAATGAAAAAAATGATGAATGAATTAGATCTGAAACCTACAAAAGTATAATAACAGGGTGATAAACAAATAGTACAACTACTTATCTTAATACACTATAATAAAAATCGCACATATAAAGTATGGTGTTTAACATGCAATTCTGACATAACAACAAGGACAAGTAGAAGTAAAAGATGTTAACGATGGCATAAAAACGTTCTAAGAACCTGGGATAGAAGAAAATTGGATGGATTCCCCTTTGTTAGATTATTAGAAATAAGCAATGATAATGACAACTATCTCTCTAGAAGACCATGAGAACCAAACAGTATCGTGACCTTGGCTAGTTCCTTAAAAGGATTTAAAATCCTATAAAAATGTAATTGGTAGTAAACTTAAAATACATAGATTAACTCAAAACCCATGAATATGAATACTTAATCAGGTTGCTGGATACAAAAGGAAACTGATATCAAGACATAATGTTCGTAATTATAAAGAACCTGCCGGCATAAGTGATGATAATGGAACAAATACGTTGGAAAATGAGCATAATATATTCGTTTATCAAGAATCTGCCAACGTAGGCAATGTTGCCAAATATATAAAATTAGACCCTGCCACTAAAATGAATACATGATCGAGGTTTTGTTACACCGAGATGCTAAGGCAATTCATACTAATAGAATGTATATAACCTTGAAAAAAAAAAGTTAAGAATGATGAACCCCTAGCAACCACGAAGGATCATTTATGGCACAATTACTACTGGGATAACTGTGGTAATTACAGAGCTAATACATGCTAAAAGTCTCGACTTTAGGAAGGGACATATTTATTAGATAAAAGCCGATAACCTTTGGGTTTCACCTGGTAATTTATAATAATTTTTCGAATCGTATGGCCTTACGCTGACGATGAGTCATTGAAATTCTGTCCTATTGACTATATCTAGTTGATCTTGCTAGTAGACATATGCTTGTCTCAAAGATTAAACCATGCATGTCTAAGTATAAATCGTTTAGGTGAAACTGCGACTAGTTCATTCTGTCAGTTAGTTTATTTGATAGTATTTCGATAGTTAGATAATACTAGCTTAAAACTTGATAAAGATAAGGGTAAGAGCTCATATAATAGAGATAACGCCCATAATCAAGTTTCAATTCGGAATCAAAGATCATAAAAGTTGACGAATAAGATCGACCTGTTAGTTGGAAGATATAATCATGACCCTTCGAGTACTAGGGATAGAAAAATTCAACTACGTACTCCTTAGTATAAAAGCATTAACGTTGAAGAGTAAAACAGATAATACGTTGTAACATAAAATGACGAAGATTTGGTATATATAATCATGAACAATTAAAGAACAATTGGAGAGTAATAGAAACTAATCTCACTAAATTTTGAACTCAAGTATCTATAAGCCGCATATCAGAAGCCTAGTGCTGGCACATGGTAATAAGCACTGCGCAAGGTTAAGAGTTGAAAAAAATAATTTTGCCGTATAAGTCACGAACATAGCCTGGTACTGGCAAAAGTTAATAAGTACTGTGCAGCAGAAGACTTTGAATTTTTGTATAAGGGACGGCAAGAATTAAGAATACGTCCATATCGTATGCCAGATAAGACTTAAAAGAAGCACTGTATGGATATCATAGTGTAGCCGCTTAAGGACGGGAATAAGTAAGGAAACATCCACATCAATTGAGATGTCAAAGTGTATCTAATATTTTATTATTTTGGTAAACCTGCGAGTAAGTCGTGTATTGTAGCCTGGTATCGGCGAAAGATAGATACTACGCAAAAATAGAAATATTGTGAAGGAAATTAGTCTGAAATTTGTTAAAGTAATAATATCGTTTATCTATTATAATTGTAAGAAATTAATAGTCACAAAATGGAAGCAAGAAACATGAACAATGTTCGTGAAATATTTCAAGTTGGTATTTGTTATTGCATCTACTTATTCGCAGGAGCTCATAATAAAGCAGGGGAGAAATTGTTACATGGGATTTTGTCACTTGACCGTATAGTCATCTCTAGTTGTAGATCACCTGATGTTGACCCGAATGTGAAGATATTCAAGGATCGAATGTCAATCTTTCGGATCCCACATGGGTAATCTTATAATATGTCGTGCTTGTTACTTGACCTTATGTCTCCATATTCTTTCACGTTGCGTTCATTAGGGAATAGGATTAGTATTGATTGTAAATGTATATAGAAGTGTAGGTCTTGTTCTTGAAAACATGTATAAAATAACCCCAACACCCTTCCAGTATTCACAGTTCTTTCGAGCACATGAATTAATAAAGAGATAACTCATCTTATGCGCCTATTGTATCTTCATATACATTAGTCGTTTTGCCTCTTTCGATAAAGTCCTAATAAAACCTCTTTGTTAAGTCGTATATATCGATGCTATTATTCTCTGCCAAGTCATAAGGCTATAACCTGCACGTCCCTTGAACTACTATTAAGAGGTGTAGTTCGGGTGTGACACCGGCAATCATTTCACCGAACGCTCATCTAGCCGACATCACATAGGGTTAGAGTTAAGCATTTGATTAGTTGCAAGTATATATTTTTACTGAAATTTATACGGACCCGGTTAAAAGTTTTTAAACAAGACCCTGTTTTTTTTTTAATCACTAAGAAAATCATTCTGTCGTTTATAATTGCAATATTTTCGTAAATTGTATGTATAAATCTTAGCGGAGATATTAAAAAGGGGATTGTTTAGAGACTTCCCCCATCTGGTATAAAAATAAATAGAATTAAATATCAGCGGAGATAGAAAAAAGTCCTGTTTAGGGTCCTGTTTAGAGACTTTCCATCCATCCGGTATGTAAGCGAATGGACTTTCCAGATGAACTAAGTATGACCTAATTAATTATGAAAAGATATTACGACCTTTATAATTTATATAAATTAGTTCTTTAGATATAGCAATACGAAAAAATTCTTTATTTATATTGTTGTTAGATGGAGGGTTCGCATGATGACTTTTTAATTAACTTAGTTCGTAAATATTGTAGAGCAGTTAGAAATACTGTATATCGATATAAATCGTTAATCAACATGAATAAATTGAATCTAAATTAAAGATTTAATAGTGTAAGTGTAATACTAATTATTAATAATAAAATAAATTAATTCTCTTTTTAATAAAGTAAAACATAAGATTAGATTTGAATAGAAAAAAAAATATGGTTGGTTATTGATTTAGATTTTTGATTATTTATTTTACAGAATATAATTCCCTGTAGGCTTCAACTTCCTTTGCTCGAACTTACACCTTTTTTACAGAATAATTTGTTTATTGACATTATTATATCATATCGTGGAACCTTATCTCTAGTCTTTGACAATTAACAATTCATATGTTCTATAGTGAACATATTTGGGAATAGACACCGTTTGGCACTTACCGTAAATGGCCAGATAGAAGATCTCAACATCAGATCCACTATGTACTATATCCGGATGTGAATTATGGAACCTACATTAATAAAATATAGTTTTTTTTCAAATATCTAAACTGCCCGTTAGAAATGAACAATACGGATGCTCTTTAAAATTCTCCTTTTAACGATATAAGCACTCAACCATGTACTATACCGGGGTCTATTATAGATTTTAAAATCGGTGGAATGTAAGAGCACGGGTCATTTATACGCCATTTGCAGTACTTTCTAACAATAATTTTCCTAGCCATTCCCTGCTTGGCTAACTAAAAATATCGATATGAATGGGCCGTTCCACAAGAAAGTTAATCTGGGCCGCTTTCCATGATGCAACCACCCTAGCGCGTCACGCCCTAAAAAATTTCGCTATCAGGCAGAATTAAAATCTAAGGTAACATAAATCAAAACGAAAATACCCTAAACGCTAACCCTAATGCTGGCAGCGAAATTTTTTTAGAGTGGTGATGCTAGGGTTTTACCAAAATGCTAACAACATAATAATTTTTCATGTAACCAACCCTTTGGAGTGTGGCCCTGTAGGTCATCCATTCCGGACCCTATGTAGGGATGGTAAAAAAAAACATTTTTCGCCTGTTTAAAACATGTGATGATTAAAGTCCGAATGCTGATTTAAAAATGCTCACATGTTTTTTTAATTTATCTTCACCTAATTTTAATTACATAATAAAAAGCATTTGCTAACTCTAATCCTATGTGGATTATATCAGGAACGGAATGTTGCAAATTACAAAGTGTATGGTTATACGGCAATTAAAAATTAGGTTACACCGCAAAATCTTAGATCCGATTGGTTCGTGTGATTCTATTTAGCACGTATTAATAGACACAACTAACTTGTCTAATTAATTCACCGACAAGTTTTTTTTTTACCGACAGTTAATTTCACTTACAGATCATTTCTTTTTTTATAATTTAAACCAACCTTAACTTTAATTCTAATTTGACCTTAACGATAAGGTCAGTTACTTTGTGAAATGAGCTGCCGGTAAAATGAACTTATCAATGAAATCATAGTACCAATCAACATCAAGAGATTTGGAAAAACTCTTGGCAAATGCTCCTGACTTCCTTGCATATGTCTACAAACTTGTTACTAAAATGAGAGTGTATTACGAATTACCTAAGTTACAAGTATTGTTATTGCATGTTGTACGCACGTCACATATATCCATAGGGTATTACAGAAATATGTAAGTAATGTACACCATTGTTTGTATAGATGTAAACTAAGTAAATTTACGAAAGTATGTATGGTTAGCAAACTTATAAAATTTATTTACCTTAATTTCGACTATACATACTTTATTATTTATACTAATATTACTTGCCGAAATATTATTTGCGACTTTTTTATGGCTTGCAACTTATCGTCGCAATAGAACATATCATCGTAATCTAATGCAGTATGGTTTATATTGTAATATTATAATATAAATAAGTCTGGAAGATGCAATGTTGCGAACTGCAGCAGACGACTCTAACTTATACATTATATACGTATTTGCTATATACTTTATCGATATCGACATCCATAAATTGCATTACAGAAATCTCGACCAATAGGGGATTTCAAAATTAAAATCAGCGAATCTTATTTTATTTCTCCGATTTATAATTCAACATAGTAAAAATGCTATTGAAAAATCCTACTTATTTTCGAAATTGTCACTAATTTGATAATTTTGAAACCCCCTAGTGTCTGAAATTCAATTTTTAATTTAGTTGCGGGCCGTAACTAAATAAAAAGCTTTACTTGCGGATTATATGGATTTAGTTGCGCATTTGAATGTATTTATATGCAAATTCGAACATATTTATATGCAAATTCACAAAATTTATTTGCGGAACCAGCATATGCATTTCCGATTTTAGTTGCGGAAACTTATAAACCATTTGCGGTCCGCAAGCTCCGCAACCCAAATTTAGACACTGATCACGACATGTATTACGTATTATAAATTTAAGCTGTAATTGAACATGCAGTTCATATCGGCATAAAAAATTCAAAATTCTTATGCGTGCGTACGTACGTTTGTTTACATAATATTGTGTTAAGTGTTCGCCGTTAATAGAGTAATACATTATAATGGTGCACTGACATGTTCCATCTGAAATAGCGATCTATATGGAATTGCTAGTTCAGGTATGT